TCACCCTGTAACCAAAGTTGAAGGTGTCCCATCTGCCTTGAGATCTTTTTAAAAGTCACCCATTCCTCTGCTGTTGGGTCCACCTTTCCTGAATCCAAACTCACCTACATTTTGTTTTCTGCCTTCTCCAATGTCCACTCTAACTGACCAGTTACCCAAGAGTGCACTGTTGTACCTCAGAGCCTCCTTCAGGAAATCCACTCCTTTGAATTTGACAGAACATAACCCTTCACGTTGGCATGTATCTTTGTGACTAGCCACACACTTCATATGGTGAAATGCGTAAAGACAGCATCTATGCTGTTCTGAATTATATTAAAAGGGAGATTTCCTATGTGAGCTGTGTAAGGGGGCTTTGTGGGCAGCTCCTCTTGGCTTTGGGACCCATGGCCACCAGCAAGTCACCATGCCCTCCACCACTACTGAAGCTGCTGTAGGCCAGACTGTTGGACTGTGGTAAGTATCGAAGTTTGCCCTTTGCTGTCTCAAATCCATTTTAATAGATAGTTTTTTTTTTGGGTACAATAATCAGGGTTGGCATTTATGACCTGTAAGAACTTAGAATACATCTTTCTAGGTTCTTTGGAGCTTTTAATATTTCTATTTGGTGCTGGCTAGTTTCTGTCAACTTGACACAAACTAGAACCATCTGGGAAGAGGGAAATTCAGCTGTGGAATTGCTTCCACTGGACTGGTCCAGGGGCATGTCCCTGGGACATCCTCCTCATTGCTGAATGAAGTGATGTGGGAGGGTCCAGCCTGAGGCGGGCAGTGTCATCTTTGGTTAGGTGATCCTTTTTGTGTAAGAAAGGTAGCTGAGCAAGGCATGAGAAGTGAGTCAGGAAGCAATGTTCCTCCTCAGTCTGCTTTGGATTCTTGTCATCAGTCAAGAGGTAGTGGGACCTGGGACACTAAAGTCTCACGAAATAGCCAACTTTATTCAGAGCATCAGACAGTTTATACTCTGAGGGTTAAGAGGAGTCACATGGGTGAAGTGTGCAATCACAAGGGCGAGCTGCATGTGGGAAAAGAATGTTTTTCCTTAGCCACATATAAACACATAACAGCAACCAGTGGTAATGAGTAATTGGAAGCAAACTCACTCCCATCCTCTACACCCGGGAGGGGCACAAAAACACATTCCAAGAGCAATTATGTGTTTTGAAGAAATTGAGCTCACAAGACTCTTGTTTTCTGACAAGCACATGGACTCTATCTCTCTGGAATCAGAAACCACAACAAACCCTTTCTTCCCTAAATTGCTTTTGGCCAGGATATATTCTGTCACAGCAACAGAAAGTCACAAATACTGCTTTCAACTCCTGTCCATGTAGAGAGTGGCGACTCTTTGAGAGGAAAAGCCTGCTGCTTTTTCCTTAAGCCTGGCTTGAATAAATAGTCTCTGTAGCAAAGGAGTCACTGCAGGGAAACTTGTCTTCTCCACAGCGAAGGGCTGGTTAAAGTGTCTCATAGCCCAAGTCATACATCTACTGCTGTTTGTCCCACAGTTTACTTCAAATTGCAAGACAGCCTCAGATGTGGGGCCCGTAAAGTTATTGTGGGGAGGGGCTGAGAGAAAGTTAGTGAGTCAAACAAACTGTCCTCCAGGGAAGAGCTTTATTAATGTAGTTTCAGCCGGTAGGCAAACAAGCAGGGTAGCATGGTGGGAGTACAGCTGTGCTCTATAAAGTGACATTTTAAATATAGATCTTTTTTTTTTTTTTTTTTTTTGAGACAGGGTTTCTCTGTGGCTTTGGAGGCTGTCCTGGAACTCACTTGGTAGTCCAGGCTGGTCTCGAACTCACAGAGATCTGCCTGCCTCTGCCTCCTGAGTGCTGGGATTAAAGGCGTGCGCCACCACCGCCCGGCTTAAATATAGATCTTAAGCATAAGAGTTAAGAGAAGGAAAAGGATGCCCAGGAAGAAAATAAGACACCTGAGAGCATAGGTGGGCTTCACACACACACACACACACACACACACACACACACACACACACACACACACACAGAGAGAGAGAGAGAGAGAGAGAGAGAGAGAGAGAGAGAGAGAGAGAGAGAGAGAGAGAGAGGCTCTGCTCTGCTGTTACAGCAGTCACAAACAAGACTGGGAATGAAGTCCCCTGAAAGAAGAGGAACTTTGCCCTGAGCACTCTCCAAGGCTGATGAACTGATTAGAACTCAGAGACCGTGGGATATTACAGGTCTAAAGCTTAGTTACAGTGTGTTGTTTAACACCATTGATAGCCAGCCCTTGTCCACCTCTATGTCTAACCTAATAAATATCCTTGTGATTATCATGGTGAAGAATTTTGGAATGCATTAACAAATCACTAGCCAGGCGTTGGTGGCGCACGCCTTTAATCCCAGCACTTGGGAGGCAGAGGCAGGTGGATCTTTGTGAGTTCAAGGCCAGCCTGGTCTACAAAGTGAGTTCCAGGACAACCTCCAAAACCACAGAGAAACCCTGTCTCGAAAAACAAAAACAAAAAAAAAATCACTAGCTTCCACCAGTCAAAAGCTAAGAATGTCACTGGATAACATCCGAGACCTCTAGCAGAGATTTCTGATGTGGTCTACAACCTACTTACCCAAGGTACCCACCAATGTGTTTAAAGAGGGTTTTTTTTCTTTTTTGATTTATGACTTTCTTTGTCCTTTTACTAAAAAACCTCACGAAACAGTTATTCTTTGGGGACATGAAATTTGGGGTAACCAATATCTTCATTCCCGGGCTTTGCTTACTCATATTTGGTCTCAGAATGAATTGCCTTTCTTCCCCTTTCAGGGAGTGGAGCTTCCTGCATAGACAGGATTTTGTGGAGTTCAAGCTATTATTTTCAGAAGGTGATGAAGGAACCTAAGTGAGGTCACAGGGTGGGTTCTGGTGGGATTACAGAAGATAAACTAAAACTATGTCACAAGGATGCAGGAAGGCAGGATAGTTAAGGACCAGGCTAACGTCTTGGAAGTCTTAGGGAATGCCTGGGAAAGGAATGGGGTTCTCCTTAAGGTCTTAAGCCTTTTCTTTGTTATTTTAACATAAAACATAGAAGCAATATTCTGTGCCTGCAGTCTTTACAGCTCATATCAATTGTTGGGATTCTTGCTTCTCGGCTGGCCGGGCCTCAACCAACTCTGGGGAAAGGGGCCTCTTTGCCGCTTTTCCACCCTGCTTCAGAAGCCTTCCTCTTTCTCCTTCCAGCAGTGCTCACTCAGGGATGGCAAGGTCTTGGCTCCTTCTCCAGTCCCCCGTGTGCTTTCTTTCTCTGGGCTGTAGAAGGAACAGGGTTACGTGGTGCTCTGGCTATGCGAGTCCAAGAAAGGTCTACAGATCATTAGAGCCCAAGATTTTCTCCTATTCAGTCAGAGAGGGGTATTCATTACTCTTGAATAGAGGCATGAAGCTCTTTTTTAGAGCAGAGCTGGCTGTTTTACAGAAAACAAAGGAGTGATACATTTGCATGGGGTAAAGGCTTTTCTGGGAGGCTACCTCACAACGACTGGAGACAATGGTTTAATTATAAGCCACGCAGTTAAAAGATGCCTCGCTCTCACACAATCTCTGAACAAAATTTCGCTGTGCCTTTGGAAAGAGATTTAAACCGGTGTGGGTCTAATGAGGGGCCTGCTTTGTTCTCGTCCTCAGCGCTTTCGGAGAGCTTCCGCTGTATGCCAGGCCTTTGCCACCGCCGTTCCCACAGTCAGGGGCCCTTATTTCTTTTCCGTATCTGTTCTGGCTTCTCTTTCATTGTTTACTTCAGGCATTTCCTCCTGGTTGAACTTTCCTTTTCATCTTCAGGCTTTTCTGAGATCCACTGACTGTGAACATTCACTCTGACCTCATACCCCTCAGCTCAGACTGCGCTCCAGCTGCCTGTGTGCACCGTGCTGCCCCACAGGACTGAGCTCAGGCTGTGCTCCAGTTACACGCGCGTGTGATCTCGCCTCTGTAGAAATGAAGTACTTGCAGCATTCAAATCATTCTTGCGTTCTACCTCCCAGCACAGGCCACAGCAACAGTTTCTTTAAGCTGAGAGTGATTGAATGTGTGGGGAAAAAAAACCTAAACCAAACCAAAACAAAAAGCCCACAACTCTCACTTCAAAGTGGATGGAGAAACAGTTCATTCTGGAGCTAAATGTACTCTGGGGACACAGATTTAGATCGCTCAAAACTCTGTAACTCTGTGTTTTAACATGGAAGCACTTCCATGAAGTTTTTACAGTAACAGAACACAAGAACAACAAAACAAGCTATGAATTGCCAGTTGGTGGTGCAGGACTTGGCAGGGGGATCTCTGCGTTCTAGGTCAGCCTGGGCTACATAGTGAGTTTCAGGACATCCAGGGCTACACAGAAAAATCCTGTCTCGGAAGAAACAAAAGCAAAAACAAAACCCAACAACAACAAACAAGTAAACCAATAACAGAAGTTAGGAATCAGCTAATTTTCAAATACATTGACAGGAACATCAGGTGATAGCTACACTGTTGCAGGCCTTAGACATTATCTGAGAGGATTAGCCCCTTTTGGTGGAACTAGAGTTTGTTAATACGTTCCAAAAGTTATTTTATTTATTTATTTTACTTTAAATGTGCTAGTCACAGGGTGCTGGCTTTGACTTTATCAGCTAGTCATGATAAGCAACAAAGAATGGCTGTTTAAGGGGGGGTAAAAAGACAGCCTAAGATATATTATAATTAGGTCTGCACTTGCAACAGTCCAACCGCTCCAGCAACTGAGGTTCTAATCCATTAGCCTTTGCACACACAGCTGTGTCAGTTAGCTTATGTGGCAGCCATTATGGCACAAAGTGCTTTAGGGAATAGGCAGCTTATAGTATCATAGCTTGCATCAGGAGAGGAGTTGGTAGGGGTGGTGATATCTTGTTTGTACAAATAATGCTTGCCTGAAGATCAAAGGGCGGAGCTAGTCACCAGCTAACCATAGAGGTCTGGATGTCTGTACAGACAGACAGGAAGTAAGATGGCTGGGCAGAGAGGAATATAGGCAGGAGGAGACAAGAGCTTGATCTCTTTTCAGTCTGAGGATTTCATAGAGGTAAGAGTTCTAGTAGTGGCTGGCTGCTCTGCTTCTCTGGTCTTTCAGCTTTAACCCCCTAGTATCTGACTCTGGGTTTTTATTAAGATGTTTTTATTATTAAGATTTATTAGAACTCTTGTTACAGGTGGACAATGAATGCACTTACCTTCTGAGTCAGAAGAGAAAGAATGGACACAGTATTACGGAGAGCATGTGTACGCTAGGCTCGGGAGGTACTTCTCTGTGGAAGAAATATTTTGATGGTTCGGGTGAGTTTCCTGATGTGTAATTCATGCTATATTAAGGAGGGAAGGCCAGGGTGGTTGGTGTACTGCTCTGGTAGTCAGTGCAAGCCTCTGTGTACATAGCATTTTCCAATTTGCAGTCTCGGCCATGCAAATAAAGTTGAAAATAAAGGCAGTCTTAGTCTAAGCTTTGGGTCACAGGGTGGGGTGGTGCTGGAGCCCCAAGGTGTCAGGTTACAGCATCCAGTAGCTCCCAGCTTAGGATTCCCAGACCATAGTTATTAATAATAATACCTTGGGGTCTGGCTCCCCTTTCTTGTCTTCTACTAATAACCTTTCCTCTGTCAGGTCAGAGAGAGAAGGAAGGGCAGACAAGGGAATGAGTGACTTAATAACAACATGGGCTTTATTAGGGAAAAGACGGGGTGGGGTGGGGGGGGGGAGGAGGAGCGTGTCTCTAGAGTAAGAACCACAGAGCCCCTCATTGACTGCTTACAGGCTGGAGTAACTTCAAGGCAGGAAAGCAAAGGGAGAGGGGGGGCTGAGAAGTCCTTTTGTAGTTCATGGTTGGCTCTTGCTAGGAGTAGCTGGGGGATAAGGTGAGTGGTGAGTTAATGCTAGCTAACACTGTTCAGTTGGGTCAGTCAACCTTGCTTGCTGAAGTAAAAACATGTGACTCCTAGCATTTAGGAAGTTATCTGTCCTTGGGCAAGTGGGGTTTACAGGTTAGAGGCATTTTGTTTTATAGATCTCATACATGCAGTAATTTAAAACTTTAGCCCTCACACTAGAATCTAGAGAAACAAGCTATTTTAGTTTCAGGAATTGTCATTATTTAGCCAAAATGGAGGAGCTTTACTGAATGGTGTGACCATGAATGGTGTGACCATGGCTAATGGTCTCCGTCCAATCTCAACATTTGAGCGCTGGTCAATATTATTTGCAAAGGGACAGTAAGAAATCCCCAAATCCCACCATGTCTTCCTTCAGCATCTACTCAGTTTCCCTTCTCCGAAGGCAGGTGACCTAACAGAATTATCTGGTGGGAAGGAGAGGCAATTGCAAAGATACTAGAGCATGTATGTAACCTTGATTTTGAGCTGTATTCAGTTCCACAATGATGGCATGGAAAGTGTGGGATGAACGCTGACCAGGCAGGAAAGGTTTTGCTTGTAAGTGGTCCCAGAGAACAGGTTCCAAAGAGCCCACTACACCCTTTTGGAGCAGGAACATTTCACTCAGAAGAAAAGTTTCCACCTGGACATTTCTTGATGTAACACACAACTCTGAACCTCAAAGGGAATAGGTTAATTTATTTTTGAGTCAAATATAAGTGGTTCTGGCCTAGGAAGACAGATTCCAAAGTGGAATGGTTTCATGAAGTTTTTTTGTAACAGAAAGGAAGAATGTTACAATTAAGGCCTGTTCACATATATCCGTGGAAACATCAGGAGGGCAGTGACAGCAATCACCTATACTTTAGACCCAGTGCGTCTGATGACACTCTTAGCTCTTGGCTGGGTGGGGACTAGAGGTCTGCCAACACGTTCCAAAAGGACTACCTAATAGTCCCAAGCTGCAATCAGCTGAGTTTTTATTTAAGCCACAGCCGTTCTCAGTTCCTATGTTCAGTTTTGGGACTGTAGTCCAGCTAAAAAGGGAGGATCTCTTTTAAATCCCAAAGGTCACAGTCTGTTCTACAGGCGTGAGATTACATCCAGGTCTTTTGCATTCCTAGAATTCCTGGTGTTGCCTTAACTGCCTCACGTTCATGGGACTGGCTTCAGATCTAAGATGGAGTAAAGGCACTTTGGCTAAGCCTGATAGCCTGAGTTCAATCCCTGGGACCCACATAGTGGGAGGAGAGAATGACTCCTGTAAGCTGCCCTTTGGCTTTCACATGTACACTGTGAGTGGTGATAACCTGGCCTCTCCCTCTCCCTGGGTCCTGGGCAAGCTGGCCCTATTCCTGTGCCCAACTCCTCTCCTCCCGCCCTGTGGTTTCTCCTCAGCACCTGCCTGTCACTCCTCACCAGCCCTCTCCTGGGCCTGGGCCTTCTCCTTAGGGAACTTTGCCTGGTTGTGGGACCTGCAATCCTCAGGCTCTCTCCCCACCCAGGGATGGCTCTTCTCTGTGCTATCTTCCCCCACCCTGGGATCTGTCTTTGACAGGTGATAGCGCCTCACTGACAGCTGTCAAAGGTTGCAAGGCTGCATTGTGCATGCGTTAGGTGGCTGCATATGGATTCTGCGTGCGGAAACCAACACAGCTGCATTTGTTAGGTGGTTGCATAAGGACTCTACATGCAGACACCCTGTGGAACTGGGGCCGTGAGGAGCGGGGCCAACGGCAGCTCCCTGACTCCAGTTTCAACGGCCCCAACTGCTGAGACTCTAAGCCAGTCCTGTTCCCTATATAAGCAAGAGCCTCCTGCCTGTTCTCTTCTTTCCATTTCTGCTCCCTTTCCCAATAAACTCGATGTGGGTTTGCTGAGTTTTGTGGTTCGTGTTTCACGGCTGCATCAAAGAACAACAATGAATACACACACACACACATACTCTCTCTCTCTCTCTGTCTCTCTCTCTCATAAATAAATGTCATAAGAAAATTCCAGTGGCCTCAGAACCAGCATAGGACACTGGGAGGTAAGGTTTTATTTGAAGATCAAAGTATTAGGACTGAGTGGCAGAAGGTAGCTTGGTGGGTCTGCATAGATCACACCACACAATAGATCTACTGAAAGAGGTTTGTTGGGGTAGGGAGAGAAAGCCCATCTTGGAGTGGGGAAATAAGACAGACAGACAGGAGACAGAATGAGAGAACAGGCTGTGCTGTTCAGAGGGACCTTTCAAAGGGTGCTTGTGTTGCATAGGAAAACACGCAACTCATAGCGCCAGTGGAAACACCTCACCTGCTGTTAGTGGGTGATGATGTAGGTGCTGGCACTAAGTCACTGAAAATCAGGCTGGCAGAGCCTGATTCACAATATCCCCCCACCGCGCCCCTTTATTTCAAGACAGGGTTTCCTCTGTGTAGATCTGGCTGTTCTGTGACTCACTCTGTAGATGAGACTGGCCTTGAACTCACAGAGATCTGCTTGTCTCTGCCTCCCAAGTGCCGGGATTTAAGATGTGCACCACACTGCCTGACCCATTTTGTAAAAGGTGAGGAAATAGGAAGAGGCGATGGTGATGCAGGGGGTGCCATGCTCTTTAGACTTCATCCTGGGGGTGATGACATCTTTGGGGGACCTGAGAAAGCTGGGGATGCTGGCCAAGTCCTGCAAGAGCAGGCTGATTCACTTGCTATCCAGCCTCAGTGGGACCGTCTGGGGCTAGCAAAGTGAGGCCTAGTCAGAGCAGTCTGTGAGGCTGGACCACCTGGTGCTAGCTGCTTTAAAACTGGGATGCAGATTTTCAGGGAACACCTGACCTGGCAGGATGCTGATATATATATATATATATATATATCAGGGAAGAAGATAAAGTTAAGGAGTTTAGGAGGACATTTTTTTCCTTAGGTGTACACTAGAAACGTTTAGCCCCATGGTCTTGGTAGTTGAGGGAGGGGAGATCCCAGTCTTAGGAATAAGCAGAATAAGCAGGTGGGGAAACAGGCTGTTGATTGACAAGAGCCCTTCTCTGGAGTTCATTTGACCCATGAGAGGTGGATTCAAGTCGATTCCCTGAAGCTCACAATTATTATTTTTTTTGAGACAGGGTTTCTCTGTGTAGCTTTGGAGCCTATCCTGGTACTTGATCTGTAGACCAGGCTGGCCTCGAACTCACAACCTCTTGCCCCTGCCTCCCGAGTGCTGGGATTAAAGGCTTGCGTCACCACCACCGGGCTTCACAAGAATTTTTTAAAGTTTACAAAAAGAGATAAGTTTTACACACGTGTTAGCATCACCATTGTTTGTAATCCATACACCTTTGTGTTGTGGGAGGAGCTTAGGAACTGATTGTGGGATAAAGGCATGAATACTCCCACCGCTCAGGAGGGACACAATAGCTCTCTTGATCCTGATTTTTGGCATGAATACAGACTATGAAAGCTGGGACTCTTTCCTCTATCCAGAAGACTGGATGTATACAGATTAGGTGGATTTTTTTTTTTTAGCACAATGTGAATTAATGTTAAGTCTCTACTTAGAAGACGAAGGAAATTTAAAATCTTGAGCTTGTGACTGTGATAATAGTGCTTTGCCAGAGCTGGATTAATAGCTTATCACAACCCCATTGATTAATGTTAAAACTCCCAACTTTAGAAGTCTTAATACAATAGTAGCATAGCAAGGGAAGGACATCTGAAACATTTTTCATTTTTTTATATTCACCTTAAACTACTTTCTTTTTTTTCCCCACCCCCTTAAACTACTTCCTTATTATCACTTAAGCTTTCACGTCCTCCAACCCTTAGTAACTTGCGTTTACATACTTTAAAACACCTTCTCAGACCCTAAAACATTTTCTTAGATCCTTACAACTTAAGCTTTTGTATCCTTAGACCTTACATAAATTTTTACACCTTTTTTCTATCTAATCATTTACTATGAGGTGGTTGATGACTGACAGCAGTCATTGCATAGCAAATTCCTTTAAATACATTGAGGGCTGGAGAGATGGCTCAAAGGTTAGGAGCACTGGTTGCTCTTCCAGAGGTCACTGGTGTTAGAGCCTATTTCTTTGGGATTCTAGCATATGGTGAAGACCAGCAGAGACATACAGCCTCATGGCCTGAGAAACTATTGGATTCCTGGACTTTCTGTTCCTGGGTTAGAGGCTGGTGAGATGGCTCAGCAGCTAAGAGCACTGGCGGCTCTTCCAGAGGTCCTGAGTTCAATTCCCCACAACCACATGGTGACCCACAACCATCTATAATGAGATCTGGTGCCATTTTCTGGTGTGCAGACAGACATGCAGGCAGAACACTGCATATGTAATAAATACATTTAAAAATACAGGGATGTCTCAGCCGGGCGTTGGCTGTCTCGAAAAACCAAAAAAAAAAAAAAAAAAATACAGGGATGTCTCTTCAAAGGGAGAAATGTATAACCTGTTTTCTACCCATGAGGCTTGGAGCAGAGGTGATTAATAGCCCGGTGATCCCTGCACTATCTGTGTGACTACACCAGTGACCTCAGACCCTTATTATGTACTTTGTTTACACCAAGCCTGCTTTCTCAGTTAAGTCACAGAATCCATCTTCATGGAAGATGCCACTTGCACTTTACAAGGAGTTTTGAAGTAATCATGTCTTAAGCTTTGGTGTGCACATGGGATTGAGTTGAGTTTAACCAGGAAACTTTTTTCAAATTGTGCAGTGCTTAAATATGCCTAAAATAAATTGCCCAGTGTCAGACTCTTTTTTTTTTTTTTTTTGGTTTTTCGAGACAGGGTTTCTCTGTGGCTTTGGAGGCTGTCCTGGAACTCACTTTGTAGACCAGGCTGGCCTCGAACTCACAGAGATCTGCCTGCCGCTGCCTCCCGAGTGCTGGGATTAAAGGCATGTGCCACCAATGCCCAGCCAGTGTCAGACTCTTGAAGTTTGAAACAACACTGGCTACTGAGTAGTGTTGAATTGAATTTCCTTGTTGCCTCTGTTGAATCAACACTCTACTGACTGTGGTGTTTGAAGATACCCCCTACCCCCACAAAGCACCTGGGAATGAACCTAACCAAGAAAGCAAAAGACCTCTACAATGAAAACACTGAAGAATGAAATGGAGAAGACACAGACAATGGAGAAACCTCATGCTCGAGGAGCAGCAGAATTAATATGAAAATGGCTATGTTATCAAAAGCACTTCACAGATCTAATACAATTCCTATCAAAATCCTGATGTCATTCCTCACAGAGATAGAAAACAAACCCTAAAATTCACATGGAAACCATGAAAGATTCAAAATACCCAAACTGATCCTAAAGAGGAAGAACAACACTGGAGACATCACATTACTTGATTTCAAATTATACATAGAGCCATAATAACAAAAACATCATATTACTGGCACCAAAACATGTCCAAAGGCTGTGGTGGCGCACGCCGGTAGGAATTGCTCCAGAGGCAGAGGCAGGCAGATTTCCAAAGAGAAACCCTGTCTCAGAGAAAAATAAATAAAAGTGAAAGAAATTGAGTAATAATAATAATAGATAAATAAATAAGCCACGTAAAGATGGAAGATACACAGAGAGTCTGGATACTGTACGCTATTATGTTTTTCAGTTTTTTCATTGCTAAGGAAGGAACAACTACTGAAGTACACTTGATTATAAATGCTGCTGAATTAATTCAACTTATATCTTTTGAAAATGCCTTGACCTCAAAATTTAAGTATAAGGATATGTTACTCGGAAAAGGAGTTTTAATTTATGTTTCCACAGAACATAAAAAGCTGAGGATTTCTTCCAGGCTTCTGTGGTTTGACGAGCCAAGACCCCCGGAAGCAGTGGACCAGGTGTTCCAACTGTTGAGACAGCTAAGATAATGCAGCTTTACAGACCCCGAAAATACGGACTTATACAGGTTTCTGAGTTTTGTCATGATCCCCATGGTATGAACAACGTCCCCTTCCAGCAGGAAGCAGTTTGGAATGAGGGACGTCCCAATTCCCATCTTGGTTATAAATCTTTGTTTTCATTTAAATGGGATTGTTTATAATTGGCTAATGATCACAGCTGATCTTTTTTTAATGGTAAAAAGGGGAATTATGGTATGGGTATTGTTTTCATTTATTGAGACAAATTCAAGGTCAATTTTGTGATGTGTATATTTCTCCTCTTGATTAAGTATTGTGCTTATACTGTTCTTTTAAAACATAATACATAATTGAATACAGACTATAGATAGTTACTTATAATAGAATTTATAGTTAGGTAAGTTAGGTTTTCTAGATATATAGAGATGTATTTAAGATAGACAGTCTTCAAACCTCTCAAAGATCTTCAGAAAATGGCATTTAAAATGGTTTAGGGTTTTTCTTGACAATGAGAAATGTCTGCTCCTGGCAGCACCAATTACGTCTGAGAGGAAAATGGGCATCAAAGAAACTCGTTATGGAGTTTGCTTTCAACATGGCAAGATTAGCCATTTGGGCAAGAAACTGCTCTTGCCTAGACTGACTGTTATTGTATAATCTGGACATGCAGGACCCACAGGAAAGAATGCTGAACTCAGTCTTACAGGGTTCCTGCTTCATGGAAGAGTCTACGAGACTTTCTGCAGGACAAAGAAAAATGACTGACAGACTGCCAACGCAGATGGACAGTTTGAAATTTCCTGCTTTGCTGAGAAGTGTTCCAGACACATTGTGGCCTATGGGCTGAAGATGGATGCCCCAACGTTACAGAGGAACTTCGGGTGACTGTCCAGGCAGTGAGATATCTCTATCAATCCCAGTGTTTATATATTATCCTTCTGTGGTCTTTGATGGAGTTGAAGACAGATAGTTATAATTATAGTTTTCCTTAGTTATGATAAAAGATAAGCTACA